TTGTGCCTTGTAGGCGAGGGCAATGGCCAGACAGATCCACCGGCTAATGGTGGATGGGGAAACCCTCTTCCCTAGTGATGAGGGTTGGAACGATACAAACAGAGCCTCAGACCTATGGAACTCCACCATCCGTCTTAGGTAAATCGGTAAGGCCCTTCTTACATCTAAGCGGTGCCAACTGTGCTCATGCTCCCTGGCTGGATCTGGGCAGAAGTCCGGGAGAACCACCTCCTGGGCCCGGTGGAAGACCGTGTTTATCTTGGGCAGGAATGCCGGGTCCAGGCGTAGCACTACCCTGTTATTGTGAAACATGCATAGATCCTCCCGGGAGGAGAGAGCCCCAGCTCTGAGACTCTCCTAGCTGAGGTGATAGCCACCAGGAACACAACCTTACAAGTGAATAGCTTCCAGAGCGGTTCAAAAGGTTCGGCCATAAGGGCCCGTAGCACCGTGGGAAGGTGCCACATAGGAAACCTGTGGACTGGCGGAGGACAAAGGTGGGCCCTTGAGAAACCTCTTAACTAAAGGCAAACGAGGTAGCGGGGTGGACCCCTCCCCAGGTAGCACCATGGTCAGGGCCGCCAACTGTCTCTAACCGTGGCTAGGGACAGACCCTTGTCCAGACCCTCCTGGAGGAATTCCAAGACTTGAAGGACCGTGGCCCTGGAGGGGGTCACGTGGGCGGCCTGGCACCAGGAGACAAACATCACCCAGGTGGAATCGTAAATCCTGTTGGTTGACTGCCTGTGGGAGGCCTCAGTGGTTCTGATCATTTTTTGGGACAGGAGGGCGCCTCTCAGGCACTCCCGCTCTATCTCCACACGGCCAGTTGGAGCCACTGTGGATCTGGATGGACCAACTTCCCCTGAAGCAATCTCACTAACCCCTGGGGAATCCTCCACGGTCTCCCTGCAAACAGACTCAGCAGGTCCGCGAACCAGGCCCTCCTGGGCCAGTAGGGCCACTAGGATTACTTTGGCCTGCTCTCTGACTACCTTCTGGATGACCCCAGGAAGGAGAAGTGGGGGGGAAGCATATAGCAGCCCAACCGGCCACTTGGAGTGAAGGGCATTGACCCCCTCCGTTCCCCGAGCTGGGAATTGAGAGAAGAACTGCGGCAGCTGAGTGTTGGACGGTGTGGCAAACAGGTCCACCACCGGTCTCCCGAACCTCTGGCAGATCCTTTGGAAGAGCTCCTTGGACAGACTCCATTCTCCATTGTCTATCGTCTCCCAGCTCAGCCAGTACACCTGATGGTTGTCGATGCCAGTGATGTGTTGCGTTCGGATGGAGCGCAGGTTTTTCTCTGCTCAATATCCCAGCGACATTACCTCAGTGTGCAACGCTCTGGATCATGTGCCCCCGTCGATTGATGTGCACTGTTGCTGCAACATTGTCTGTTAAGACGAGGACATGATGACCTTCTACTGAGGTTTCGAACCGTCGTAGGGCAAGGTGGACTGCCTGGAGCTCCAGCCAATTTATGTTGTGTTGAAGGTCGTTCTTTGACCACCGATCCTGTGCCAGACCCTGTGGAGTCTAGGGTCGCCCTCCAACCGAACAGGCTGGCGTCCGTTGTCAATATGAGGCACTCTTGTTCCCTGAATTTGCAGCCTTTGAGCAATGCCGGGGACATCCACCACTTGAGAGACATCAGCACCTGCCGTGTCGCTGGTACCTTGAGCGTCGAGTTGCTGGAATCAGCCCTCTGATATAGCAGCAGCCTCCATTGGAGCGTCCTGGCATGTAGTCGTGCCCACGGGACCACTTCGATGCATGAGATGAATTTCCCCAGCAAGCTGGAAAGGAGGGCTACGGGAACACAATAATCCTTCCGGATCTGGTTAATGAACTTCAACAAGCCTGACCTGCGATCCGGGGAAAGAAACACTCAACCCAACCGGGAATCAATTACCGCCCCCAGGTGTAGGAGAGTACTCTTCTCAAAATTAATCAAGAACCCTAAGCCCTGGAGGGTGTTAATGATCTGCTGAAGGTCTGACCTAGTCTGAACAGGAGACACCTCCTGGACGAGGATGTCATCCAGGTAGCAAAAAAGCCTGATGGGAATTTCCCTCAGATGGGCGGCCGCTACCACTAACACCTTGGTAAAGGTCCTGGGGACCGAAGCCAACTCAAACGATAGAGCCCTGTACTGGTAGTGAAGCCGTAAGTAGGAGAAGCGTAGAAACCGCCTATGCTCAGGGAGGATAGGGATGTGCAGATAGGCTTCTGTGAGGTCAACGGATGCCATGTAATCCCCCTTCCGAATCCCTGCCAGGATAGACTTGAGGGATGCCATCTTGAAGCATCTATATACTAAGAATTGGTTTAGGAGCTTTATGTCTAAAATGGCTCTCCATCTCCCTGATGCTTTTGGCACTAGGAACAGGTTTGAATAAAACCCCTTGCCCGCCTGGTCCTCAGGGACTCTCTCTATGGCCGCAATGTCGAGCAGGTGCTGGATGGCCTACCGCATCATCTGGCGCTTGTCAAAGTTCTTGGCTGGGGAGAACACCCAGAAACAAGTGGGGGGAAGGGAAAGGAATTCCAGGCGGAGACCATGGGTCACCGTACTGAGGACCCAGGCATCCATGGATATCTCCACCCAGGCGTCTGAGAACAGAGCTAGGCGGCCGCCAATGGATGGGGTCACGGGCAACCTACTTGCCCCGGCGGAAGGGGGACCACCCGCTCTTCGAAAGGTCTGTTTCCCTGAGGCTGGAAGCGGGGTCTATCCCTATTGAATCCCCTGTTGGATAGCCTATCCCCACTGCCTCCTGGAGGAGATCCCTGCTCCCAACCTTTTCCTGGAAGTAGTTAAGAGGCAGTGGGAGACACCTGGGCTTTCCCCACCCCAGGCAGCAATGACAGATGGTTCTATAACATCGAACCCAAAATAGAGCAGGGGGGTGCGTGGAGGGCACTATTTGGCTCCCAGCAGGTTTCAGGGACGCCTACTAGGCCTAAAATAAGCTTGTAGGGCTAGCAAGCCTCCCTGCAGCCCCCTGGGAGCAAAAGCGGGGCAGACTTCAACAGAAAAAGAAAGAAAGAAAGAAAGAAAGAAAGAAAGAAAGAAAGAAAGAAAGAAAGAAAGAAAGAAAGAAAGAAATCCTCACCATTTGGGGATCCCCAAGTGCATGGAACAGAGGTCTGCAAACTTGGCAACTTTAAGACTTATGGACTTCAACTCCCAGAATTCAACTCTGCTGGCTGGAGAATTCTGGGAATTGAAGTCCACAAGTCTTAAAGTTGCCAAGTTTGCAGACCTCTGTTCCATGCACTTGGGGATCCCCAA